TTTTTTTTTAATTTACACATCATTATATTTGTCTCTTTTATGATTGAAATGAAAACAAAAAGAAATATCTTATATGATAGAAATGTCGATTTTTTTTTCGTGGTTATTTAAGATTTTTCTTTTTTTTTTGTCTTTTAAATTGAATATGATGAATGGAGAACATAATGATGGACAAGTATCGGACACATATTTGGATAATATTATAAAACAACTTGAAATATCTGATGGATCACAAGCAACATCATGTGTTCGGTATGTTTAGATAAAAGATAATTATAAAAGAACTTTTTTTTTTTGTTTTTCGTTAGTTCGGTTTTTGTTCGAAATGATGCTGGAACATTTTTAAGAAAACTTGATGAACGTATTAAATATTATGATAATGAAATAGAAAAATTATGTAATTTTCAATATCAAAGTTTTGTTAAATCATTTCATGAATTATTACAAGTACGAAAAGACACAACAAGTATGAAGGTAATCTATTATATTTAATATAACTATTAATCAATAAAAGAATACATATGTTCTACATTTTATAGAATGAACTTGTTAAAAATAATCAAATGATGCAAGAAGCTGGACAAAGTTTAGCAAAAAAAACTGAAGGTTTAATTAAAGAATATCATCGACAGAGTAATATACAACAAACTATTGATGCTTTATCACAAGCATTTCCAGGTATGATTAGAAGACAAAAAGAAACGATTTTATCGAAACTCATTTCTATCGATATAAAGATCATTAGATGAAATTTTAATGTCGAATTCAGGGTTACTAACATTACTATTATATTAAAAGAAAATATTAATACTTTGTTTTAATTTGTCTTTGAAAAATTCTGAATGCTATTTTATAACTTGATCCAACTATTATCCAATCCAAAATAAAAGTCAGGTTACCATTTTTCGAATAACTTTTGATAGGAACGTGATAGAGAGCTGTGATTTCACCATTCGATAGAGCGATGTCCGGGCCATCAATCGGTATAGAACTCATTAAGACGAAAGATATTTTTTTATAGGTACCTTTGAATCAACACACTTTTCTGTGAGTATTTTCACAATAGTCTCAACTCAAATTATGTCAAAATATAGCTCAAATCACCCTTTTTTCGCTATAAACTTAGCATTTGTTTTTTTAAATCCGCTTAGAATAAGGGGTTGAGAGATAACGAAATATGTGGTAATTTTATAACGAAAAAAAATGGGTGATTTGAGCTATATTTTGATATAATTTGAGTTGAGATTATTATGAAAATTGATGAAAGTACTCAAAGGAAAATGTGTTGATCCAAAGATACCTATAAAAAAAATACCTTTCGTCTTAATGAGTTTTATACCGATTGATTGCCCAGACATCGTTCTATCGAATGATGAAAACTGCAGCTTTCTATCTCGTTCCTATCAAAAGTTATTCGAAAAATGGTAACCTGCTTTTTATTTTGGATCGGATAATAGTATCTATGATTTTTTTTGATTTGACTACGATAAAAGAAAAGCTGAAGCTATGAAAAATATTTTAAACAGCACATGTATTTTTAGATACTTTTTTTTAAAAACATCTCTTTAGTCTCTAAGTAGTAACATATTCAATGCAGGTATTTTATTGATGATAAGTATTTTGCTCGACTTCTAATAGAATAAGATTTAGTAAAAAAAAAATACGCATGACATATACATCATTCGTTCTTTTACCTTTCAATTGTTTCTATATGGTTCATTTAATTTGTTATCACCTCTTATCCACCAAAGTAATGGAAAACTTTTGAAATGCATTTGATTCACTATTAAGCACTTGCATCAATCTATATCACAACATTTATGCGACATGTATCTTACTGGCAGATAGAAAAAAAATTTATCTTTCCAAATTTATCGGTTTTATAAGTCATATTTTTCAAAGATAGATCAATGAAACGAACCAATTTTTTTTACCAATCGATAATTCATTCAATTCCCTAGAACTACTCTGAAATTAATCGTGGATCGAAGTCTTCAATTTTTTTTAAAAGGATGCTTCTACCAATATCTACACATGTGAACATTGAAAGAGAAAAGGTTTATAGTTTACACATATGAGACAATAATTCTCTATGTTTTCACTAAAATTAATCCTTCGAGATTTATTGAATTTTTTCTTTCAATAATATTAAGTACATTTCAAGTGGACTTGAGGAAAGTTTATATGACATTAAATTGAACATTAAATCTTGAAGACATTTCTTTTAAACGTTAATTTAAAATATTTCTTTGTAATTTTTAGTCTTTGAAACATATCGAAAATTACAAGAATGTATGGAAGAAAAAAAGTAAGAGCTTACCTCTTTTTTTTTCTTTAATTTTGAAGTTTTATTAATGTTTTATAATAGACTTTATCCAGCATTGAAACTACTTGAACAATTAGAAACTAAACATCTTGTTCTCGTAAAAGAACATCGTTGGTCAGAACTTATTCAGCATAATATTGCAAAATTTCGTAATCAAATTCGTAATGAATCACATAATGAATTGAAAAATTTTCTTGAAAATGTTGCAACACATGCAGATAAAATTGGAAAAAGTGCTTTTGCACAAGTATGTTCAATAATATATTTCAATTATGAAAATAAAGTTGTCTTTAATAAAAGGAAAACATTTTTCTAGAGAACAAAATGGATTCATTCTTTTTATATTATTATATTAAAGTTTTTGACTAATATATTTTTCTTATATTCTGAATATAGTATCTATCATGGATCAGTATTTTTTTTCCCATCATCGGATTTGAACTATCTCTAAAAGTGAAGTAATCGTTTTGTGATCATACTTGAATCAAAATCTATTTAAGCGATTCTAAATTGTTTCCTACTGGTTGATACGACAATATGTTGTGATTAGTGACGTGCTGGGCCACGTTTAATTGAAGTTTGCATAAATTTTTTCTCTTAGTGTCGGGTAGAGTTCGGCAATTTCCAAAATCTGAAAACGAATTTTTAAATTTCTTGGAACCGGAATCATTAAATCACCAGATAGATACAAAAATTCTTAAATCTGTGTCGATAAATCTTCATCTTTTTATTCTTGAGATTGAAGATTTCAGTATCTATGTACAATATTGTTTTATTTTAAAATTGAAATATGTGGCGTCTTTAATCTCAGTAATTCAATAATGAAAATTTCTCAAAATGGATTTAAATTTTTTGTATCAATCTGAAGATTGAACGCTTTCGGTTCATACATCTCTAGTCGAGATTTCAATCTGTTTCGAGCTGACTTACTCTTTGATTATCACTATGCATATGAGAATATTACTTTTACAATCGTATTCTAACAGAGTTTTTCGAGTGAAATATCGAATGAGTAGAGATATACAGAGTAAGTTTTTTTCGCACCGTTTACTCTGACTGAGAAAAATTTTCTAACCCTACAGGATAGGATAACCCTGTCTATTTCTATGAATGAGCCATGGAGTATATAATCAAGACAGTGTATAAGTATTATCTATACTTCTTCAATAACTTTACTCTGATTATAAAGAATACATTCTATTAACTTCTCTGTGTTTTTAAGTCTAATTAAAGTATATTTCATTTAGGCAGCTGCTCGTCTTGATATAGATCGACGTTATTATATGTTAGAAGAAGATCGAAGAAAAGATCAACAACAACAAGCAGATGGATCAACTGATTTAACTTTAATCAATATGAATATAACTGAAATAATAGATTTTTCTCCCATATATAAAAGTCTTCATATAAATTTATTTCTTAACTGTAAAGAAGAATTTTCAAAACATTATCAACGTGAAAAACAAAAACAAGCACCTGTTATTATGGATGTACCACCTAAAATGCATGAATCATTTGATGCATTTAAAAAATATTTACAACGTGTAACAGGTTTTTTTATTGTTGAAGATCATGTTATGAATACAACTGAAGGTTTAATTGATCAAAGATTTTATTATGAATTAAGTGAACGTGCAACACAACAATTATTAGCTGTACTTAGACGAGCAGTGGTTAGTGGATTTTTTAATTTTTTTGAAATATTCTATTCTTTTATTATCCATATACATCAACAGGATTTTTGTTTACAACCGATTTCTACCGGCGGGGTAATTTAACGGTAGAAAAAAAAACAAATTTGAAATTTAGCTGCTCAATTGTTTGTTTTCCTTTTCTTGCATAGGGAAAAAGAATACATATTATATAAGATTTTTTCAATTTTTCTTTTTAGTCAACATCATACAATCCAGATTTAATGCTTGATATGAAAATTGTTGTCGTACTTTTTTGTGCTGCTATAAAAGAATCTGGCTTTCCAGTTACACCTTTATTGGATGTTTTAATGGAATTAAGGTTTGTATGAAAGTATCCCCGCCAAATTTGGTGATCTACCTCGAATCGGAATGCTATGTATGTCGTTTTGTAGAGCAATTTTCAGTCCATGAAGAACGTATCTGTTACTCATACACATGGTGGTTCCTAAGCTGTTCTAAGATAAACTTATGCAAATTTCGTTTTTTTGATTTCAATTTGATACAGTTATAGATGCTCTTCAATTTTCTATAATCAATAGGTTTCTTTCTTGTTTTCTTCATACCTAAAAGTGGTCATTTCTTTTACATATAGATTATTTTTTGACTATATAATAGTCCTGCATGATCAATTCTATGCTGTAGAACAAGTAAATACTAACGTAAAACTTTCTCAAAAATTACATAGTATCGAGCTGTATATCTTTCACAGATAACATCTTTCAGAATAGCAGGGACTCACTGTCAACTTGCAAAATTTTCCTCTAGAATAGCTTATTTTTCTATATGAAGAGTCCGGTATATTGACAATATTTAATTATACTCAACGATCCTATTAAAAATGTTCATGTATCGATAACCAGTCGAACATCCTTAATTAACGGATATAAATAACTTTTTTACAAGCAGAAAAATCTTTTTTGACCTCCAGATCTCTGGAGGGGGCTACGAGGATATAGTTGTAGGAACGAGATCTGTAATTTTGATTCATGCATGGAACTCTAGACTAATCTATAAATATTTTATGTTCATTTTAAAAAATAAATTTTTCCATATCGCCGTACACCCCTCTAGGGATCCAAAGGTCGAAATTTTTATTTTCCGTTTATAAAAAAGTTATTTATATCCATTCACTCGGAATATTCGGTTGATTATCGATACTTACAAATTTTTAAGAGGATCGTTGAGCATAATAGAATTGGTCACACATAACTATTATATAGTCAAGAAATGACCTAGGCCTAAGGAAAATTGAAGAGCATCTATAATTGTATCGAATTAAATTTAAAAACAAAGTTTGGATAAATTCATCTAGAAACATCTTGGGAACTACAATGTCTATGAGTACCATATACTTGTATCTTTCAAGAATTATAACCAGTATATGAACTCTCAGCATATCAAAATTTTCAAAAAACTTGGTTTTATTATATACCATTCGATGCACTGCAAATTGCTCTATAACATCACATACATGGTATCCTGGTTCACGATAGGTCACCAAACTGGGCGGGATCGTTTCAAATACATGATTTTGTATTTTTTTTTGTTTTATAGAGAAAGTTATCAACAATTATTATTAACACAATGGGGTCAAAAATTTAAAGAAATTCTTAGAAAAGATAATTATACACAAATGGTTATTGAAGATGAAACACAATATCAACTTCTTTTAAGACAATTTCCATTAAGAATCGAAGCAACTGAAAAAGTTTTATATTAGAATAGAAGATTTTCTTTTCCATTTAATGAAAAATTTGTTGTTTAGTTACCATTTCCACGTTCATTACCATATAGTGAATCAGTACCAAAAATATTTTTAGAAATAAAAGATTTTGCAGCAGTATGTGCAAAATTTGCTAAAGGTCTTAATGTTAGGTAAATAATATAATAAGAATTTACATTTTAGAATAAATATTTTTTGTTATTTGCTTCCGTTTTTATTTTTTAGTAAAACTGAAATTGATGATATGATTCGAAAACCATCAAATTTATTATTAACAAAAACTCTTAAAAGTTCTTTAGTAGATTTAACAGCTGCTGAATCAGAACTACAACTTAATTTTTCACAAGTAAATTCATAAGAATTTGAAATTATGAATTGATTTTAGTTAATCTTGTTGTTTTTTAGCTTGTTCAAATTTGTATTAATACAATACATTTAGAAAATTCAATGCCTTATTTAGAAGATTATATTGTTGCTCTAGTACAGTGAGTAATAAATTTTGATCGGATTTGTTTTCTTTATTTTTTAATGAGAATATCATGAAGATGTGTTCGGATTGAGTATTTCAGAAGTCAAACATTAATTTAAAAATGAACAATTATCAATCACATCTAAACAGAACTGCAGGAGGATGCGAATGGTTTGTGGATGAAAAAATTTCATAATGTTTTCATTTTATCTTTGCGATTCATAGTGAAGTTGCATTTTCAAGAGTTCCATAAATTCAGAACTCATGGAATTTACCCACTATTGAAAACGGTATACTCATAATTAGTTGACTCGAAGTCATTTGTCAATAGGAAGTATTTTGGTGTGGGACACTGTGTCTACGTAGACTGGTTTTTATGGAAAATACGTGTGCAAAGTGAGCTTAGTCGTTCCTGAAACTCTTGATTCTTATATCACTTTGTAGAAAACAATCTCATATTTAATTCTATGCAAAAAACGTCAATTTTCTCGTCTTTAAAAGGTCGATTCATAACTCCTAAGTCAGCAATCCTAGAAAAATATAGAACATATATTGGAAATTCGATTCAAACTCAATGCTTTCAAATCTCTGCGCAGATGTTTTTTAAGAGGCTGAAAAATGAACGAACCACTCTTTGATAACGCGTTAATCAACAATAGCCAAGATTGCTTCTAGTGCCT